TATTTTTCACTTGTATATTTCTTAGTGGGTACCACTAATTTTTTAACCTTTGACCTTGGAGTGTGACCCACATTATCGGTATTGTTCAAACTGATCTTGTTTTTTTTTTTACGTTTCCCTTGTCTGTCTGTCTCTCCGTCTCTCTGTATCTTGTAGAGACCTTAAACAGTTACTGATCAACGAAATCTTGAACTAATAAAACCAACAACCTAGAAGTAAGAACATCCCCAATTTGTAAAATTATGACAAAGATTTTATAACTTTTAATGTTATTTTCATTTTGCTCCTTTATATTTCGAAATACTAATCTGCAATTTGTTTTATGCTTATTGTTATAGAAAAAGACATTCGTTTCATGCTGTAAATTTATTATCCCTCAAATAGCTAAATAGTAGAATAGGAGTGTAGTAGATAAATTTGTTACACATTTCATCAAAGGAAGATTGGACATATAATCCTTTCCAGGTTACTGTGAGCTTTGAAAATTCTTAATTGCCTGCCATAAAAAAATCATTAATTTTATATATCACCTTCATCTTTAAAAGATCGGAAATTTTTCAAGAATAACGAGGAAAGAATATATGAAAGTAATTTAAGAAAAGTTGTGTTACGCTCTAACAAAAAAATCATCAGGAGAATTAGATGGACTTTGATAGTATCATTCCTTGTGGCTTTATTCTTTACTAAGTCTATTGTAATTAGCTTATTTGAATTGTATGAGGGGCGTTAGATTTAGCTTCAGGTCTTGTTGACGAGGTGGTCTTCATCATCGGATTACTATGCGGTCGTAAAAAAACGGTTACGGGACTATAATTTCTGAAACACTCGCGTACTTTTATTAGTGAATCCTTTAGTCAATAACAAAGTTGTAAAGCTTTTGGAATACTGTAAACCAACTATTATTCGCGTCATGTTTTATTCGCGATTCGTTCGTTTAAAATCAATCCGCTACGATTAATTTCCGCGACCAAGGAAACATTCCCTAAAAATCCTTAGCAAAATGAAATGTATGTAATGAAATGAACATCTAACAGAACTGTCAGCAAATAACAGACAGATCACTGAAAGATATACGATATTTATAGATGCGCAATTTTAATTGGTAGCAAAACATCTATAAAATATAAAGATGTATTGAAACAAGGGATGATTTTTTTTATTCATTGGAGTAGAAAGCTCAATAGATACCGGTATATGGTTTTTTTCTTTTTATGAAAATATCAATAGCCTTTTTGATGAGGTTTGTAAATCAAATGAAATTATGATGTATTTAGGTTATACAACGAAATTCTTTCCTTTTTTAAGCTCTATCAAAACATTCAGAGTACAAAGAGATTTTAAAGCATTCCGTTGATCAGCTTCAAGTATTAAAACATAGAGGTTAATGTTGGGTTATGAAATATGTCCCACGTTCTACAGAGGATTAAAAAGATATCTGGAGAGAATCAGTCTTTGGGATAAAGGTCACTCAAGGAAAGGAACTGAGCCAAGTATGGTAATCAGATGTATTATAACATTTTGTAAGTTGTGTGTACGGGGTCAAAGAGTGACAAAACATTTGATGATGCTAATGATGTTATTCTCGACAGCAATTATGAAGATTATTTGCAACTAAAATGTTAAAATGAAATGTTGCCTCAATTTGTTCAAAACAAATATTCTAAAAGCCAGGGTTGGCTTAAACACAGATCAATTTTTACTTAGGAATACATATGGATTTGAGGTAAAGAAATTTTATTTTTTCAAATAATAATCAAAATCATTCAGTTCATGTATTCTATTTTTTCTATTTATTCGAAATATGAACTTTGTAGTGCGTGTTCTGGTTTACATATTCTAACAGATCTTGCTTTTAATAAAAAATGATTCGATGTTTCAGATAGAACATATAAAAAATAAACTCAGTTTCGCGGTTTTTTTTTTGGTATTACACATTATTATGCAAATCAACTCCTCCAAACACTTATCTTGTCAGTGTGTACATTATAAAGCACATAACAAGTCAATTTTCAGCTCTTTTCACCAATTTCCATTTTTTGGCCAGAAATTACCACATTAGTACTTTGTAATGGCTATGACATTTGTTACAGAGAGGGTTTAGTGGCAACGTTACCGTCGCCAGAACGCCAATCGAGCACTCTCGTTCCTCTGTTTAGGAAAGGAGGTGCTAATCTACAGCAATAATGGCCGTCGTTAACACATTAGTACACAGCTGATAATGGAATATTCCCGGGGGTAGCGTGTAGGCTATAGGACTGGATCAGCTATGTTGTTTCCTATATTTGCTGATAAACTTTTGAAAAATATTTTGTACAGTTTGATATGAGCTTACTGTAATCAATTACAGATTGGTTATAGTTAATGATTTATTGTATAAAAACGTCCACAGATTTTTTTTTTAACTTTGATATCTAGATATTGGATTTTTTTTCCCTCTGGATATTTGTATAAGTACAGATTCAGAGGGGAGAAAAAAAAAAACTATCTAAATATCAAAGTAAAAAAGAAATGAAATTTACATATTCAAAGTACATCTATTTAAATTTTAATACCCAAATAGCACAACTTGCAAATTTGTAACTATTACCTTTTTTGTACAGATATTATTTAGCTTATTTTGTTAAAGAACTCGTTTATTTTATTTATTTATCTGCCGGTATTTATTTTTGCTTCCTGGTTTTAATTTAAATTTTTGCACGCAGTAATATTTAGAAGAGAATGAAAAGACATCACAATAAAATATGCCTTACAAGTGTCATCCTATCTTGACAATATAAATGTTTTAGTAACACTGGCATTTTATTGCGCTTTACATACATTTGGATATCGCTACATAAAATTTGAGAAGGGAGGAAAAGTTCAAGCATTGTAAAATGAATCTATTTAAAACGACAACTGTATTCAATGTAAAGCTGTCTAGTACATACATAATAGAAAATATTCTAATGTTTGTAGGTGTATCAGTTACAACTGAATTATAGCAATGGATGCTCTATGTATATTGTGAACTGTTGTCATATATGAGAGAACGGAATATCTCAATACTGTCTCTCATTGTTCTTTTGCTGAATAAATCCTTTGTTCCAGATTTGTTTGATACCCGGCTACTGTAAATTACTGACACATTCTAAAAGACGTATGATTGAAGATTACATTTAATATTCAATAAACATAGAAACTATGTGACAGAAATTTTATCTATGCTAACTGCGGGACATTTCAAAAAGGCGATGTTAAGTATTTACACAAACCAATATATCAAAACAAACGGATTAAGTTGCAGTTCTTAACATAGATCAAATATATTAAATTTTTAGAGATTTCCAAGTCTATGAAATATGGACATGTTGCAGTTACTATATGGATTATGAAATTTCAGATGTCCCGGCATGTACCGAATTTCCAAAATGATTTTAGGTAAACCAAAAATCTTAATTGTCCTTAGTGCAGAATATGGTACCAAGACGCCAAATGAAATCGAGTGTCTATGTAAAAAACAAAAAGCAAACTCAGGGCAATTTGCACTAAATATGAGATACATAAAGATTATGACAATCTCTTATAATAATGCTGCATGTCTCAGAATAACCTGGAGGGGATACAATTGTCGTGGTCGGTGCCATGTCACTGGAGTCTAATGCTATTACGATCTTCCTGAAACTGTATGTGTAAGAGGGATGAATGCCAAATCAGTAAAACAAAATAATAGTTGATGACATCTTGGCCAGCTTAAAGGAAAGAAAGAGATCAGTGTCAGTGTACTAATGAAATTGTTGCCAGAAACATTTTATTCCCCCTTTATTGAAGATTCGGGGGTATATAAATTTTGTTCTCTCTGTCTAGCTGTCTGTTTATCTGTTTGTTTGTCCGCAAAAGATTTAACCCTGGTCATAATTTTTGAATGGTTGGATATTTCACATGTGTATTTCTTGTGGCATGACTTTCTTTGGTATAATAAAATTTGACCTTTACACCTTGACCTTAGAGTTTGGCCCATTTTCAGAAAAAAAAACCTTTAACATTGGTATTAAATTTTGAACAATTAGTACTATGGCTTCCGTATTTAACATATGTATATTCCTCGTGACAAGACCTTCCTTTTGATACTTAAAATTTTGACCTTGACCTTGAGGGATACATAACTCCATGAATTTTTCATTAATTTTGGAATTAAAAAGTAAGCATTCCCTACTTCAACCTTAAAAATAATCTGCCTAATAGAAATAACTGCCATACAGGGGCATAAAATTTTTCATAAATTGAAATTTAGATATTTGATAACCTCTCTCAGACATATAAAACAGACAAATGTAATAGGTATAATTGCTACCATCATTAAATGATTTATTGATAATGTCTCCATGAATTTTTCATTAATTTTGGAATTAAAAAGTATGAGAACATTCCCTACTTCAGTAGATTAACCTCATAAAAATAATCTGCCTAATCTTTCAGTTAAAATTATGATATGTCAGCAAAATAGCACTGTATATATGTATTAGTTGGTAGCAATGTAACATTTTTGTTTAAATTTTTACCCCAAATCCTAAATAAATAAAGCAAAGCTGAAAAGATAACAAAAATATCTTTTATTTAAAGTCTTCAAACATAACGGAAAAAATTCATTCTTCGTGTTGATAAAAAACAATTCTTCAATACAAAGTAAATAAAAAAGGATTTCCTCCAATCAATTATCTTATCTAGGTAGCTCCGTGTCATCAGTATATAGGAAATGCTTCAGAAATTTGTCATCGGGAGAAATTTTATTGTCTAGATTATTATTGTGAATCTCTGATGTGAAAAAGACAAAAACGTGTGGTTTCTAATAAAAAAAACTTCGAGGCACTCTCAATTTATAACTTTTTGAAAAAGACAGACATAAATACTAAATTCGTCGTGTTCTTCAGGTAATAATCTGGTGCAAAGTGAAATAAAGAATAAAAATCTTAAAACAAAAGTTCTTCAAGATTAATCTGGTGCAAAGTGAAATAAAAAAGCAAGAACAATAACAATTCTTGATTCTTTCCATTCTTCCTGTATGCTGCACAAGCAAAACAGAAAACAGCATTAATCTAAAGTTGATAAAATTTTCGAACGCTTACTCAAATAATCATAAATTTTAAAGTCTTTGAATATTTACTTTTTTGTAATTTGTAAAAGTTAAATCCATATGTGTACATTTCAAGGTCAGTAACATTTGACAGGTTTACATGTATAATTACCGACATCAGTTTTAAATGAGTATTGTAAATTTTGATTGCAAACGATACCTTCACCAGACTGAAAAAAACACATACTTTCTCATAATTTAAATGTTAAATAACTTTCTAATAAAAAATATTGAAAATAAAACCACCCGTATTGCATGAAATCACTTGACATCCGATTCATTTCCCGAATCAAATAATTGAATTGCCACTGAACATAAAAATATACAATAAAATACATGTAACATTTTTCAGCACTAATTAAGGCTACTGGCAACCTCTCAAAAAGGGATCATAACCCAGTCATTAAATAGGGAGAAAGGCCAATCTGATTGCCTATAGAGTAATGGCGAAGATTTATGTCCAGTGAAAATTGATATTTGTCATTTTGTAAAATTTGGCGTTATAGGGGCGATAAAAACGTCTGAGAGAGGAAATCACTTTGGCGGGTAATGTGGGATGTTTACGACCTTTACTCTCATCCAGACAGTGGCCTCGTTTGCTGTTAATAGTTCTTCTGATACACGGAAACCCTCGGGTTTTGTTCATAAAGAAGTGTTTATCCGTTAAGAGAGGACGCAACCCTAGGAACTCCTGCACTTTCCTCATTTCCTCCCCCGGATTCGTCACTAAGTTCTCGCCGTGAACAAAATGAATCTGTTCCAAAGGAAATACAGATAACCAATTCTCTAGATGCTTGACATATAAACCAATTCTTATCACAATCCATGACGTATTAATTTTATTTGTGTCGTTGTTCAGAAACGCAGAACTCTGAAAAGACTTGACTTTTCCGCCATGTTTGCTAAGAATCTGTGTGTAGTCTGAAATGGCACGGGTGACTGGGTCCCTCACCACGAGGACTAGTTTGGTCAGATTCGACATTTTGTAAACCCTGGATGGCACCTCCTTCGTGATGAGGTAGCTGGGGGTTTTCTCGATCGTCATCTGGTGTGGCAACGTCTCTGGCATCATGTTTCTGAAAGTATATATTTTTTTTAATTAGCAAAATTTCTTATTTGTCATTTTGCACAGATATGAAGAAATCATTCTAGAGAAGAGAACTATTGGAATAGTGTACATGAAATAAAGTTTAATACATGTAGTAATGATAGTGCTAAAACAGAGTTGTGTTTTATCATACGGTTTTCCCCGACCAGAGGAGCGATGCGTCCTACAAAATCTATGTGGGGCATAATCCTCGCCACTTGGATCGCAAATGTTTTTGTGATTTGAAATAAGGTCATATCTCGACAAACAATGTCACTGGGAACGGAGACAATAATTTTGGCACAGTTGACTAAAATGAATTTCAAACATGAGCATATTTGTATGTTGTTACTGAAGAGCTGTCATAACTTATATCTATTTCAAACGTCAAGGACATAAAGTGATGATCAGTAGTATAGGCAAAATATCTGTTTGTCCAAAAAAAATTCTAATTGTATCAATTACAGAATATCATATCCAAAAGAATGCGCTACCAGCTCATAATAACAGCACTATCGACCTTTAACTGAAGTTAAAAGTTAATTTGTTTCAGTAACACTTGTTTCATACGTATTTACATTACAGATTAATTGTAAACATCCTGCCGGGGTGAGCTAGCTCTGGTCTGTAACTAATAACTGTCTATAAGTATCTTCAAAGCTTACAAACAAGTTCTTTATTAGGGGAGATAATTGGTGAAAACATGAACCTACAGTAATCAAAGGAATCGTTTAAACATCAAATACTTTATATCTCTCGTCTAAAGGTAATTGTGATGAATAAGTATGCGGGAAAGAATTTGTTTATGAAATATTAGGATCACGAGATCATAATGATTGTATTCAGGGACGTGTTAAAACTGCTGAAATAAATGAAATAGTTAAAATGACTTTTGATACCGAGGAATGCGATTTCAGTTTTAATCGATAGTATGGCATTTGGCTTTAACTGCGTTTTTATTCTCTAACCCTGTTAAAAGAAAACATGAAAATAATATCTGCATCCAATATAGCACCAATTTCTTTCCTCTTTTTATTTTCTATAGAAGAAAAATCCATTTTGGGTTCTATGAATAAAAGCGAAAACGGAAGTCAAAGAGCTCAGCAACACTATTAATTAAACACATTACTTAAGGTATTAGTTTCACTGACAGGAAATCTATTGCAATGTTACCACGGCATTAATGTATTTTCATGCTGATATGTTGTTTCAAGATATTACAGATATCGGTATTCCAATCGAATTTCGCCAAATTTTCTATAGAATATTTGGCTAGAATCTAATGCAAGTAAGACTGGAAATAAAGCGAAAAAATATATTTTCCTTCAGAATATGTTGAGAGAGAGAGAGAGAAGGGAGAGAGAGATTTCTTTGTAGTAATTAAATGACCCATGCCGTAGTTTAACCCTTTAACCTTAACTTCATGGTTTACAAGCTGTACGGAAATTATTGATTATAAATGATTTATGCATGTTCCTTTTGGAGTTATGGACGACCTGTTATATATAATTTCCGTTTGAGAATAGATGTTTTCGATATTTCATCTGTTAGTAATTACGATTTGTCCAATAGAACGTGTTCCAACTGATTGCTACGACTATAACAGTCTTTGAACAGCTGTCGACAAGTATCTTTACACTTCAGAAACAATCATGTTTGAAAGGGATGAAAACTTTGGTGTTCACTTCTGTTAACACATATATACTGTGTTAAACATCAATCGAAACGTTCATTTAATTAAGGACAGTGACTTTTATTTTTTTTTTTTAATAGAAATAAAAATTATTCTGAGGAAACTTTTCATGAGAAACTGGGAATGTTCATGTATTATTTTCTTATGAAAAGAGCAATCACGGTAAGCTAATTGGAACATATACCAGATATTGATTATTTTCTTTGGATAATTACTCGTTTATTGGACGTTTTTCGACATGTAATTTGGTTAAGGTAGAAAAGTACTTGTAGGCAAATGCTGTTAACATACAGAGTAGAAGAAGATTCATCAATCAACGCCAAAAAAATAGAGAATAAGCTAATATTGCCATTTTTAAAACAGTTCTTACAAGTTGGATGTAAGATCCTACTATTTCTGGAGATGATAAGATTCTGATTCGTTGTCCACTATCTGGATTTCTTTTTTGTGCCGAGCTACATTCTTTTTGGTCATTAGATTGACCAAAGAAAATAGAGCTGGCCAAACAACAAAAATGATATTGATGAACTGAACACTAACTGCATGTTCTACATGGACGGATAGGTAAATTAAGATGACATTTATTTAACATGCAATGATAAACAATGAAGCTTTACTACTTTGGAAAATAGAAGCATTATTATTATGTCTACTTCTTGTGATCAAAGTTATTGCACATAACATATACTTAGTATAGTTAATAAAGGTATGTCATTTGCTAATGGATTCACCGTCATATAACATGTCCTGTTGCTCTTGGGTTTACTCTGAGCGCTACACGGGAGCTAGTCTGGTAATTTATAAAATTTTGATTTACCATCAATACACAGTACTAGTATTCTGGTTAGAAAATAGCCAAAGGAATGAAGAGTAAATTAACCGCTTTCTGATAGATTGTTTGCACTTATGATTGCACTTGTTCCTTGATTCTCATTACTGAGAGCAGAATGACAAGTTCACTTCGTTCCAAAAATTATGCAGATATTAAATACGCAAATGCATAGATCATGTGTAATGCATATTGTAATTTTGGCCTGTGTACAGGAACAGAGGTAGGACAATGTTCATATAAAGAACTTCATACCTTTGAACTATTTCAGAACACCTATACCTGAAAAATGTCCTCACTATTGCAATTTTTGCTGAAATATGCATTCTACTTAAAGTCTTTTGGTTTGTAAAGGTACCAGCTGGCAGCTGGGATTGAGACTAAAAATTTAAAAAAGTGAACTTAATTTTTTTTTCTCTCGTTAAAAGATTCAGGGGGAAATATATTGAAATGGAAAACTGCAACTTTATTTTCCAGCAAATAAAAAAACCACACAGAAGAATCTGCATTTTCCTTCCAAGAAGCCTAAAGATTGTGAGTGTTGGCACATTGTAAACTGCTAACGATATCAAGATTCTCACAATAAAACAATTAGTAGAGGCAAATCGTGACAATTACTGTCACTTCTACTTTATGATTACGTCTCTGATATCATCTGCAACAGCTAGGATATCCCGGAGAAGAAAACAGTAAAATTTTTTGCTGGATGAAATCACAAAACGTCGTTTATATAATAAATTTGCAAAGAAGGCTGAATTTCTTAAAGAAAATTGGGTTTTATAGAAATTAAATATTGGCATAAATCATTTCATCTATATGCACTTTTAATTGTCAAACAAAAAACACTGAGATTAGCATCTTGTTCCGTTTAAAAATTTTATTGAAAATTAAGAATCGTTGATTGAAAAATAGAAGTTTGTTTATGGATACTTTGTCCCTGTTATAAATGCAGACACACACAAAAAGTTTAATTTTAGTAAAGTACAGAAGCGAATCGAGAGTGTGTATTGGTGCCAGTAAAAGCATTTATCATACATGCGTTAATATGATTTTTCCCTGTTCAGTGCTCGCAAGGCTCATTCATCCAGACAACTTCATTAAAATTCGAATCTCTTCAACAAAAGACGCCAAAAACGCTTTTTATGAAATTATTAACACTGACCTCACAATAAACTTGATACCGACAGTATCTAAAACCGACATCTGACTCGACGAGTCGTAAATTATCCACGCTATGATGTTACATTTGGGTACACAGTAATATGTTACACGATTTCTTGAAGGAGGATGACCGGAGACAATTTTTAGGTTTTACATTTGAAAACTTGCACATCTGTTTTTGGACAGCGATGTATCCATTAGTTTTGATTGCACAATGTTAAAACACTTTTTTTATCTATCAGTGACAGATAATTGACTATATAAATTCCAAGGACGGGACAAAAAAAGGCATTCACTTATTGATTAATGTTTTCTGTGTTTATATTTTAGCTTAAAGTTAAAGGACATGAAACGGGTAAATAAAAAATAGAACTTTAGGCGGCTTAATTATCAACGATGCATCATGATCGTCCATCAATTTGTTTTGACCTGGAAAATATTCTCATATCCCTGCAAAATGAAACCCCCACCCCCACAAATTCGTACCTGTACCACTCCAGCCCTCTGTGATAATTTTTATCGAAGAAGTGCGGCTCTGGACCAGTAGCCTGAACGTCTGGGTGGACACGTAGAAATTCCAACAAGGCACGGGTCCCGCTCTTTTTCGCCCCGATGATTATTGCTTGGGGAAGTCGTCGCTTTCTCATACCCCCACTTTCTCCCGGTTTTTCGCTGCCCCTTTCCATCAGGACTTTCGCTTGACTTGATTCAGATGTCAAAGTCATGTTCCAATTATCTGAGAGTCTGTAAGCTTTGTTAAGGGATTTTCTCGTTGGTTGATCATTTCGTCGCCGGTGTGTACCGTCGTATGGCAAGATATTCCGCAAGTTTCGGTTATGATGACCAAAGTCTGGAAGCTTGGAATAAGACTCCTCTGACGAAGATTTTGGTGAACTAAGCCCGTTTTGTCTAAGGGCTCGAGTATTGAAACTAAGAACACTTAAACCAAGAAGTAAGCATCCGATTAACAGTACGTGGGACCACAACTTCTTCCTAAAATTTCTAAAAGTTCGAAACAAATTTACACCCCGCATATCCTATCATTGTTATTCTGGCTAAATTTATATATTGACTACAATCACACAGAAAAACGACGCATCCTTTTAACATTCAGAATGACAGTGGCTATCCAAAGGCATAAATTGAGTGTGGGGATTAAACAACCAGTTTCGCTGCAGTAAAATTGTAAAGATTCCTAGTAAGTGATCAACCGGCTAGTAAACTTTTCCAAAACAACACTATTCATAATTGAAGAATGAATCGACATGGAACATAGCGATTTAACACCTGGGTCTCAGTCTTTTTTTCTTCTCCGAATCACTAGTTTACCCCATTGTGAATGTCGTATATCTGTTACCTCGCAGCTAGGTCAGTGGTGTATCAACAGAAAAAAGGCAATTTGACACCTTGATCCGTCTTTACACTTTGCTGTAGAAATTGTACGATAACACAAAATCTGCTGATAACTCCAAACCCCTGTAGTTGTTATATTTGACGGACAGACACGCAGAAAAACTCTTTTACCCACTAAGCGGTTATTGATCCAGGTTCTCTCTACGCGAAAGGCTTTTACGTGCAAAACGATTGGATGAAAACCCCTGGTAGGCCGTAACGTTAATCAATGGAGGAAAATCCCTCTTTTATTAAAAACATCAACATAAAACCGAACCTGTTATGATTTATATGAGATGTTCAAACTGGCGTAAAATGTCTTTAAGTTTATTTACCTTTAAATAGGGGTTTTATTTTTTTGAAATCGAGAGATGAAGCTTTCGCTATTAACTCGCAAACATTAGCGTGAATTCTACAAAATATAAACTTTAAAGTCAGTTGGTATCATTTGTAATATATTATTGAAGTATTATAATGTTCGAAATTTTTTTAAAAATGTCAGTAGCTGTCCTTTAGTTTAATTTTATTAAATCTTCCCTGAATTCAAGACGAAATAATAAAATCTCCTACTCTCTTAAAAATTAATCAAACATACTCAAAAAAAGACTCACATACGAAATGACAATGAAGGGGGTGGGGGTTCACATGTACGTTTCTGCGAAACATTTATTCATTGCCAGTGAACTCGATAGGTAAACTGTGCCCCGGGAACGTTAGACAAAAGTGCGCATTGCCTCCAGAAAGCCAGTCTACATATAAATCAATGACGTATTCAATTAATCATTATGATGTATTTTTAACAATGATTATGATCATGAATACTGTTGTCATGTTTTTTATTGCATAGAGTAATTAAATTGTCAAAAATGGAATTTAAATGAATCTCTTCCTTTTAAGTTCAAAATTCTGAATATATCAATGTATTTTGAGCATACAAATGGCACATTTTTTCATACATTTCATAATATTCTTCTGAACGAGACACCGAATCAGAAAAAAAACGTGAACATTGACAAAAGTAGAATACCTGCAAGACACTTGCAAATTTTACTCAAAGTTAATAATAAGGTTTTAGATGATTAAACTACAGGTTTCAGAACCTAAAAAGTATTTTTATATAGGAAAATATAAGTGAAAATATTTTTTTTTTTACCCCAACACGATCATGTTACATGTAGTTTTCATCTTCCTGTTAATTGTACGCATGCGCAGAAAAGTTGGAGCTACCATGATGCCAACTCCAAAGATATAAATGTCGGACGACCAAGGATTTTCATATAATCTTTAAAAAAAAAAGGTGATTAGCACTTATTCCTCACTTTTGCTTGCTCCAAGTCAATGTTGTAAAATAAAGAATAAAAGACGCCTTGACATTGTTTACATCCACTCACATTTTGCGGTATTTTCTCGCTTTGCAATCAGTTGAAATCTCAAAACTTCGCTTTATTCATATTTCTCATATATCGTTGTAGTTTATGATATTCATGATCGTTTTAATTTTCTTAAAAGAAACGCATGATATTGACTCACTATGTAACTTTAAACAAACTTTAATTTTGTGAACAGTTCATTCGAAGTACATGTACTCTTATTCTAAACCTACAAAATCATTTAGAATTAAACAATTTTCTTTATTATATGATTGAATAATTTTCATCTCTCTGATTGGCTGAGATCCAACTATGTTAGAAAAATACTACGCTGTATTGACCTGCACGTGACGTTGCAGGTCAATACAAGGATTTATTTCCTCTACATTGATCTAAAAATAGATCAGGAAATTCCAAATTGATACAAATTGTTTTGGGAAGCTATTTAATGGACTATGACTTTTTTCATGTGAACAAAACATAAGCGAATATATATTTTCAGTTCAGGGTGGTAAGAGGGGATGCAGGGACTCCCCTCCAACACTTTAACTGAACAATACTTTTTACTTTTTGGCAGTCAGTTTTCCCTGATAATACTCCTTCCTTTCAAAATCTATCCTATAAAAAAACTGATATTATATTTTTTTTCATGGCAACTAAATAAAATTGATAAAAAACATTTCAAATGGATGCGACTAATAAGGTTTATTTACATTTTAATTCCGGTTCTCTCTTGTATTTGGCTAGGACTTAATTAAATGCAAACAAGTAATAAGCTGTATCATTTTATCAGTGAATCATATAATAAAACAATTATTGCTGTTTTTCGGTCAATACAATGATTTAGCCATCTTCGAAGTACAATATTCACCTTGCCCTTCGGGCTCGGTGAATATTGTACCCCTAAGATGGCTAAATCATTGTATTGACCTCAAAAAACAGCAATAATTGTATGAAATACCCGTATGCTGACAAATTAATGCTGAAATATATAAAAATAAAGTTAGAGTATTTGTACTGATTAAACAAAAAAAACAAAACAAACATTTATGTTTCAACGGTTTTTTAACCCCCATGTCGCATTCCCAGCACCAAGGCGAGGGTGGTCGTTACCAGACCAACTAGTGCTAATTGTAACGGGGACCGTTACAGATGTTCCCCAAACGCTCCCCAACTCCATTTTGGTGCCTGACCCCTGTTGGCTTCATTAAATAAGACAAACCCTATGCATTTGAGACTTTAACGTTTACCCAGAAGTGTACCAAGTTCATTCAAATTTTAGCATTGCACGCGTGTGAATGCATATGCGTAATAACCATATCATATTGTCTACAGAATCTATATATTTTAATATACTAAATATTAAAGTATTTAATCCAAAAGTATTTAAAAAATACGCTCATTCAAGTGTATTTTTGATTTTACTCATTTCACGTGCACGCACGTGCATACATGAGCATGGTGACCATACCTTCTTGTAGAAGTCCTTTACATCTATATATGTTCTAAATCCCACCCCGTTTGGTTGAAAACCAAGGGAGCTATACCTGTTTAAAGTTTCAGCCAATCAGATTGCAGCACATGTACACGCACATGTATGCAGGTGCATGATGACCATACCTTCTTGTAGAGCTCCATTATGTCTATCTATGTTCCAAATCCCATCCTGTTTGGTTGATAATCAAGGGAGTTATAGCTATTTAAATTTTAAGCCAATCAGATTGCAGCGCACGTGCATGCACGTGTTTTCATGATAATTGCTATATATCGTATTGTAGAACATGCTAAAATATGCCTAAGTTTTAAATTTCAGAGCATTTCGTCAAAAAACAGAAAAGATATTGAGATTTTTGTTTCAGCCAATCAGAGCGAAGCGCACGTGCATGCGCGTGAGATCTTGCTATTTTGACCATGTCATATTGTCTATGCTACTAATATATCCTTATATTATGAGTTTCAAAGCATTTCATCAAAAATGTGAAAAGTTACGCCTATATCAATTAAATCGGTCATTTCACGTGTTGCACGTGCACGCTCTTGCAAGCACGTGCGCGCAAAATGACCTTCGTTCCGCAAATCTACATAACAAGCCTACTGACCCTAAAAAGGTTTTATCTAAGTCGGATGTGTAGTTTACAAGATCACTCCCGGACAAAAAAGTACCCAGGAAGAAGAAGAAAAATAATAATAACTAGTGCTAATTGTAACGGGGACCGTTACAGATGTTCCCCAAACGCTCCCCAACTCCCTTTTGGTGCCATATTCCCTGTAAGCTTCATTAAATAAGACAAACTCTATGCATTTGAGATTTTAACAACTTTTACCCAGAAGTGTACCAAGTTCATTCAAATTTTAGCATTGCACGCTTGTGCATGTGAATGCATGTGCGTAATGACCATATCATCTTGTCTACACAATTTATATATTTTAATATACTAAATATTAAAGTATTTGATCCAAAGTATTAAAAAAATATGCTCATACAAGTGTATTTTTGATTTTACTCATTTCACGTGCACGCACGTGCATACACGGCATGGTGATTACACCTTCTTGTAGAAGTCCATTACATCTATCTATGTTCGAAATCCCACCCCGTTTGGTTGAAAACCAAGGGAGATATAGCTGTTTAAAGTTTCAGCCAATCAGATTGCAGCGCATGTACACACACATGTATGCATGTGCATGGTAACCGTAATTTCTTGTAGAAGTCCATAATATCTATCTATGTTCCAAATCCCATCCTCTTTGGTTGAAAACCAAGGGAGATATAGCTATTTAAAGTTTAAGCCAATCAGATTGCAGCACACGTGCATGCACGTGTTTTCATGATAATTGCTATATATCAAGTTGTAAGATATCCTAATGCATGGCGATGTTCAAAATTTCTAAGGATTTCGTAAAAAAACAAGAAAGATATTGAGACTTTAGTTTCAGCCAATCAGAGCGAAGCGCACGTGCATGCGCGTGAGATCTTGTTATTTTGACCATGTCATATTGTCTATGATTCTAATATATCCTTATATTATGAGTTTCAAAGGATTTCATCAAAAATCTAAAAAGTTACGCCTATATCAATTAAATCGGTCATTTCACGTGTTGCACGTGCACGCTCTTGCAAGCACGTGCGCGCAAAATGACCTTCGTTCCGCAAATCTACATAACATGCCTACTGACCCTAAAAAGGTTTTACCTACATCGGATGAACAGTTTACAAGATCACTCCCGGACAAAAAAGTACCCAGGAAGAAGAAGAAGAAGAAGAAGAAAAATAATAATAATAAGAAACAGAGTAAAAACAATATGTTCCCCAACTTCGTTTGGGGAACATAATAATAAGAAATATGTTCCCCAACTTCGTTTGGGGAACATAATAAAGATAAACCACCACGACAGGTAGATTGCTGGGTATCGGGGTATCTGCTTTTAATGTCATTTAGCCACTATGTAATGACATCTTCAGTAAATATTTACATAATCTATTGCATCGTCAATTGCATCTGTAGTCGTTTTAATTATCTAATAAATCTCTGGATGTAACTAAGATGTAGATATAATATTACAACAGGACCCGGCCCCAAACAAAGAGGTAATGAATTCGGTTCTACCGATACAAGACACTCTAATCCAACCTCCCAAGTCAAATGTTACAATGTGAATGGATCATTGTTAAAGGAAAAATACGGGAATTGTTCTGAAGGTGTTTGGGCATCTCTAAGGACAATTTTCACATTTGATACAACCTTGATTGAAAAGAAGATTTTTGGATTTCTAAAAC